TTTATCGGGTGAGCCGACATTTGTTGATGGTTCCCGGCCGGGTTCAGGAGAAGTACGGATAATATCCTTACCTAAACCATCGTTATGTGTGAGTTGAAATTGCTGCGTGCATTGATTACCCTTCCTCTTTTTATGGCCAACTTTGCTCAGGGATAACTTTTTTTTTTTCAAGGGAAGCGTCGTGTGATGAAATTGCCCTGGTTCGGAAAAGTACTTATTATACTGTACATGTATTTGGAAACAGTCAAATGTGCATTTGGGCTTTAGCATGCCTCGATGTCCTTCCCGGTTTTATGGCCTCATTTGGTCGAGGTCGACAGTATTTTTTTCGATTTAAACGTCATATGATTTTGATCCCTGGTTTCAGAAACGTACGGATTAAATCCTGGACTCTCACTTGTGCGCTTGGATAATAGTTACTTATCTATTATGTTATTCGATCGATCATTTAATGATCGATAGAAAATCAGCGGTTATTGATTTTACTTCAATTTTGATTAATTCAATTTTACTTTTTGATTTTTCCAGATTCATTTCTCACAATTTCGTAGTTTCAGAAACGACTGAATTATTGTCTACGGAGTAAAGGGACTGTTTCAACCGTAATTTTCCCCCTTATTCCTCGGTGACATTTTATCAAATGAAGATATTCAAACAAAATTGTATCATTAAACGTGGTCCACATTTTATTCGTGATGAACCTCCATCTTAAATTCTTACAGCATGTCATTATTTAGGCTGGGTTTAATTATTGTAAACCGTCGATAAACTTTTCCGCAACCTATTGGTGTCATTCCCTCGTTGGTCTCTTTATAAAATCGCCATTTGTAGTTTTTTCTGATACAATGATGTATGTCAGGTCGCAAACCATACTATGAAGAAGAATCGGCAGAATATATTGCAAGGATAGTTTTTGGAATCTCTATGTAAAAAAAATAAAAGACGTTTATGAGGGATAAGAATTGTGTTCGAATGCTTCAGGACGCGAAGTTGAACTTCGTGCAACTTTCGAGGACGATTTGAAAGACATTTTCCAAATGAAAATACGAAATACCGGTACTCTGTGAACTACGCATTATAGGGATAAGAATTGTGTTCGAATGCTTCAGGACGCGAAGTTGAACTTCGTGCAACTTTCGAGGACGATTTGAAAGACATTTTCCAAATGAAAATACGAAATACCGGTACTCTGTGAACTACGCATTAAACAAAGTAAATTATAGTTCATGCTTCTTTTGGAAGGTGTCCATCGAGTAGTACTTGAAAATATAGTACAGTACATGGGATTACTTGAGAGGGCAACAGGATAATACAGTACGGTACTTTCTGACACTTCGAAAATCATCTGGCTAACTTAAATCGTTTTCTAAAAAGAAAAAAACCTCGTTCAACTAGGAATGTTCAGATTTCAGAAATCTTCATCGGTCAAATGAGATACCGCATTTTTGCGAACAAGGCATTCAGATTTTTTTTTTCTGCTCTGGAATACATACGTGGGATCACTTGACAGTATAAGAGAGCCGAGGAATACGCAAGTCATGCTGTTATACCTAGACTTGTTTTTCCAGGCCTCGCAATCCACGAGTAGGAGTCTAGAAAAACCTGGACGAAAAATCCAGAAAATGAGCACAATGGGGTTTCCAGGATTGGTACGCGAAATCTGAGTTCCCCCACTCGTTGAGTATGAGCGTGACCTCGCAAAGTACAAAGTCGAATACGTAGCGTGCAGTTGAGCATAGTGCACAATGCGAAACAACAAATATGAGAACCACAATGCAGAGAGATTTTCGACCATTTATACAGCAGAGATGGAAGATGGGGGCAGAATAGGCAAACAAGGAGAAACGATAAGATAACACCGGGTCCGAGGCAGGAACGAAATGAAGAGATGCGTGTTTTTCGGCATGGCATTTCGTTTGTTTTTCCCTCCATCAAAAAAAAAAAAATCTCCATCATCATCATCATCATCGAAAAATTTTGGGGAAGACAAGGATATACAAATTGGCAGCGTATCACTTTCGAGCCGCACTCGTGAGCGGGCTCGGACCTCAGACAAAAAAACGACATCAAATACGAAAAAAAAAAAAACACTGGTTGGCAAGCTCGAGACAACGCTCATGACCGCAAACAAAAACTTTTCCGTCACAATCTTTGGAGCAAAACTGCATGATGAGGGAAGAATGCACGAGGGATGGTCTACAAGTTTCCGAGACTGATCAGAATACAATAAATTACCCATTTTTCGGACTTTCCACGCGACGAAAAAAACTCCCTCATATCCAAGGACTTGAACATTCGGTACTGCGACACGAAGAGACACCTTTCAAGCTCTTTTTTTTCTTCCTCGGCTCCTTCCAGCCGTGAAATCTTATCTTTCCAATGCAAAAATGTTTTTTCTCTCTTCTTCAATCGCGGAAGTCTCAGGCGTTAATATGGAAACTCATAAACCAATCCCTCAAATGTGCGCGAGAAGGGGATCACGTGTTTTTTTTTTGGGGGGGACTCGAAACCTGAGAAACAAAACACGCGAAAAACGCTCTCTTTTGATTAACTCAGTCACATCCCTTATTCGAGGGCCTCAAACGTCTCGTCCGCCATTTCTTTCAGTCGAATATAACTAAAAAATGTGTTTTTTTCCTTCATCTCAAACGCGGAGAGTGAAAATTTGAGCATCCCAGGGAAGTGCACGACTTCTTTTTTTTTCTTTGTTAAAAAAAAGCAGGTGACTTAAAGCATGGCGAGAGGATCACAATCGGGTTTAACCCCCCACTTCTTTTCCTTTGAGCAAAAAAGAGAGTGGGGTTCGCTCCTCGTTGAGCTTTCGTCGTCTTTTTTTTTTTCTTTCTTTTCTTCCTTGAAGCTCTCGTATAGCTCCGTCACGAAATGAGCCGAATTCTCACGTTCCAGCCTGAAGCCAGGTCACTTCCGGACTTCGACTCAATCGATTCCAGGCACCGAACAGGGGATCTCTCTCGAGAATTCCCTTCTTTATCGGATAACCTATGCTGGCTAATCACTTTTCCGTTGCCTCTCTTTCTCTTCCATTTCCTGGTTTCCTTTTTCTCCTCCTTTAGGATGAATCGTAGATCCGTTCGCAGCCTCGGACGTGATTGAGAACAGTTCGGATCCGTTCGGCCAGGATTCGGGCGTATTTGTCCGGCAACGGCGGCAAAGCGTCACTCATGTCCGGATGTGCTTCCGACACCCGCTTTGAAAACTCGGTTGCCACGTCGCTGCGACTCAGTTTCTCCAGGTTTTCCACTGTAAAATACGAAGAAGGAAAAAACACTGGTTAATCGACAGGAAAAATTCAGGGCAGCGCTCGTCGATCAGTGATATTCAAGATTTTCCAGGTTTCGAAGTCGTACGCTTTTCGAGACGCGGTGAATCGGAAAGAAGACGCGATTGACAGAACAATAAAATGTAATTCGATAAAATGAGACAGAAACCATGGAAAATATAAATCTGTGCGTTCGGAGTTTTTTTTATTTATCCAAGCATTGAATTATCTTGAAATAATTTGTCGGGAGTTTTTCGAACATTTTGAGATAATTTCAAATTAATCGTCTCAGAATTTGAACGTCTATAAAAACTGGTGCACTCCAAAAATAAGCTTTCAAATTCCATTAACAGAGAAAATGCAAGTGGTGTGCGATCATTCTACGGGGAAAGAGAATTTACTGTACACGAATTTTTCCGAAATTCGATATGGTTGACCCGGAAAAATCCTGATTACCTCATTTATTTCAGTAAACCACAAAATCTAAAGCAAAAATGCACGTGTTACTTTTCGTAAGGCTCTCAGAATTACGCTCCAACTTTGCACCGAAAAAGACTAGGCTACCACATTACAGAAGGAATTACTCTATGATGATATTCAGAAGGCCGATAAAATAAAATTAATAGAGGTTTCTTGCACACAAAAAATCTATGTTGAGGAACTATTTAGACATTGCCAGAAGACTCGTCGGGAAAGAAGAAATATCTTCGAATCTCTGTACAATATAATCGTCGGGAGAGTCCACCACATCTACGCACAACGGGTTTGAAAAGGTTTTTTTTTAGTTAAGCTTTGTCGTCGAGTTCGACCAGAGTCTCAACTCAATAGAATTTATTTAAATCAGATTTACTTTTTATGAAGCAGCAGGACGTTTCTCCGGGACCAAACTGATACAGATTTATATTTCTTGACGGATTAACGATGCATCTGGCTAATTCGATTCCCAGTTATAGAATTGGGTTCCTCATTCTAATCGTCAGCGGACGAAGAAGTAAAGAAGAGGAGCTGAAGGTTTTGAAAAGAGAATGGGGTAGAAAAAGCAACTTTTGAAATGAACAATTTACCAATTTGCAGCAAACAAATTAACCTTATGAGAAAAATGAATACAGTAACCTCGATAACTAGAACCTATGTCACATTTTACTCAAGTCCCTTGGAAACAAGGCATTAAAAACCTCCCTAACTCGAAGGCTTTCCTCTCCAAGCATCCACGACTCGAATTTGCTGAAGGCATTTTGGTTATTATTTGATTGAAAAAGGAAAGAGAAAAGCAATAAAAATGTGACTCGATGCGTGTTCGAGAGGAAAGAGAAGACTGATTGGGCAAATGAACCCTTGCCTCCAAGTTCAGCATCCTGTCAAGTCATTCAAAAAGCAATTTAAGGCCTAGCCCTAGAATATCAATAATTACAATTTCCGTTAATTTTTCTTGCTCCCCCCTCCCACAAATACAAATGATTGTTTCCCTAACTTGAAATTTCCCTCAGTCGATTTATTCTTTTCTGGTCCCTTGAAGTCCAACTTGAAGAATTTTGACTCAACTTCAACATGTATAGGTACTGTATACGGTACTGTGGAAATGAATTGATAAATTATACTAACCAGTGGATCGACGGAAGACGCAGAGCGAGTCGAGGAGTTTCCGGTGGTACGGCTCGTATTTGTCGAGGAGCCGGAAGCCGTGCAAAAGCCCGCTTTCGTTGTCCAGGAAGACCAGGAGGCCCGTGGCAGTCTGGCGCGCCAGGTTGTGTGCCGGTGCGTCCATCATGCCCGTGTTCCACTGCATGTTGTACAGGTTGTTGACGACCCGGTCCAGGTTCGCCGTCAAGTAGTCGAAGATCACCAGGTCCGACCACTGGGCCAGGTCCTTCAATTCCCGCTGCCCTTCTTCGTCCAACAGCCCCTTGGCCTGTTGCGAAAGAGAAGAACATTGTGTGACGTTAGTCGCTTGCCCGAGAATTTTGTTTCTTTCAGATAGAATTAGAGTCTGAATTTTTAAAAATGCACATCAGAAGTTTACTCATAATATAACATAAGGCAGGAAAGTATGTAAGCTGCCGCAGAATCTGTCCAGTTAATGTCATATGCTAAGGAAAGGATACTTAGAATGGTTGTTTTTAACTAAATTATCTTTTTTTACGAAGAACGTTTCGTACTTTAATTTCTCTTTTTGGAAACACCTTTTGAAGCATGCGCATTATCAATTATACCTCCTCCCATAAAAAAAGCAGTGATGCAGTTTAAATACTGTACACGATTCCTTCTGATGAATATCAATAAAAAGGGGTTGAAGTAAGCGAATTGAATAATGTTTTATTTCAAAAAAGTAGCTTTTTGTTTTGATTTCGAGGGAGAAATTAGAACAGCATTTGATGCATGAGTATACGGGAATGAACAGACCTTCCCTCATTCTGAAAGAAAATGATACCGAAGTAATCGAGTTTATAACTTGAAAAAGTTTTACGGGTCGCGTCTCATAACTGGAAGTGTTTCATGAATGAAATGCAGCTTATATAACGAATACGCAACTCGTTACGGCACATTTTCGAAAAAGCAAGAAAAAAGAGTTTGAAAAACCCAGCATGGAAACCAACCTGAAGATTGACATCAGGCGGGTGAAGGTGTCGCGACGAAGGTCGGAACGGACCCGGGATGTGCGCTGGCTCCAACCCGTCGACCCATTGCGTCATGACCACGGGTCGCTGCTCGATCCACTGAGCAAGGGTCAGTTCGGGTCGAACCGCCAGGGTGACAGCGGGTCAGCGGAGCTGCTGCAGGTTGCTGCGACCGCCGTGCAAGGGGTACGGGTCTTAGGCTGAGTCCATTTTCGACTTCTAGAGAGGAACCTAGATTTGTGCTGCTTTTCCTTGAGGAAAAAAAAGAACGAAACATCAAAAATATGTTCACAGGAAGAAATATAAAACAAACGTAACGTTCAAATTAAGAAGGTCATTTATACCCGCGCGTGAGAAAATGATCATATTGAACCCCTCGATAAATCGAACCTCCCTCAGTCGAAATTTTATTCAAGTCTCCGTCGGAATTCCCTTGAAAAAAAAAGCTTTAAAACCCTCTCTAACTCACGGATTTTCCCATGAAATCTCCAGAACTCGAATTTTCTGAGGCCGTTTGGCTATTATTTTCTTGGCACAGGAAAGAGAAGAGCGAGAAAAAAGTAAATTGAAGATTTCTGAAAGGAATTGAAAGACTAATTGCGAAAATATGAACCCCTTTTTCAACGTTCAGCATCCTGTCAACTCATCTAAGAGGCAATTTAAGGCCCATAAAATAAATCCTTACGATTTCCTGTAATTATTCCAAGTTTCCCCAACCTACCCAAGTTGAATTTTTTTGCTGGTCTCTTGAAATTAGACTTGAAGAGGTTCGGTCTTATGTTAAAATAATTTCGATCTCTACCAATGCAAAAAAAAACCACAACAAGTTCAGAAATACAACACTGAACCAAGGATGAACGGATCTAATTTAAAAACGATTTCTACCCTCGGCGCGATTTTTCTTCCGAGGTTCTGCTCTTGGAAATTCAACCACCATTATGCTGTTTCGGTTCGCAAGTTTCGACCACCCCGACGAGAAAGACACGCAAAAATCACGAGGAAAAAATCAGTGTCCATCAGAAACCCAGATTAGCCGCATGCTGGGGCGCAAAACTCGCTGTTCTTCACCGAACGGCGGCTCTTTTATCGATTCACCAACCCGCATTCTCACAAATTTCATGCAAAATAAAGAGACGACGAGAGAGAGAAAAAAAACATGCACAAACGCAAAAAGAAGAAAAAAGGAGCATGAGAGAGAGAGAGAGAAAACAAACATTCAACGGCGTCATGTGTTACAGAATAAAGGCTGCTTTTCCGCGCGAACACGGCTCGCGTCGCGAAATTCATCACGTCGGACCGTGAGAAAAAGAAAGTTTCTTTTCCACCCCTGGCGGCGGAGCGGAAACGCGAAAATCGGCCCGGGTGAAATTTTGCACCGACCCGACAACAACTGGCCCCCATAGAATTTTTCGCCTGTTCAGTTCTTAATTTTATTTTTCCTGCGTTCATCCTAATTCTTTTTTTTCCTCTCTTCTCCTCTCTCTCTCTCTCCCCAAGCTCAGTTCTTTGAACATGGGGTCGAAAGCCCCGGCTCCGGAAAATATATTCACCCAGCCTCGGCGGTCCTCAAGTGGCTCTTCGAAAACGTCGTTCAAATTACCGTAAAGTTCCCAGAATATATAAAAATTCTATTCCAGGTAATTAAAAGAAAATAACGACTACGGGTCGAAGAAGAGAGAGAGAGAGAGCCTTCAACTCGTAAATCCGTATCGGAATCCTTCCCTGCAAAGCCGCGCTCGCGAGTGCAACGAACTGCTGCCAAGAACTCCCCCAATAAAATCAAGTTGCGCGAGAAAAAAATATAAAAAATTGTCTTTTCGCCTGATTGCGTTTCATGAAAACATAATAAGTCTCTATTCATCTGGTGGGAGGAACGGGGAGAGGGGATACGGACTTGCAAAATTTAAGAGCAACCACGAAATCCGGTAGATGTGAATCTAACTGTCGATTGAAATGCAATTAATTGGTTTCACCTTGACACGCTGATGCTACTTGGAACGAGTCATTCCCCACGTACAAGCATTTAATTGTCAGGAATCACGATAATTTTATTCTTGTACCTGTATCTTGGATTTTCAAAACCCTCTTCGGAATGTACTGTATCATGAATTCACATTTATTTTTTATAAATCGAATACTGTATTTCCCTATGAACACGCCTTTTTCGAACGGCAATCCGATACATGACTCATTTCTTCAATGAATGACAGAATTTTCAGAAAATGGAAACCTGCAGGATGAGGGAACCGGTTTAAACTGCTATCTTGTTCTAAAATTCGTTTTGCTATAAATTAGTTTTTAAACCGGAAAATTATTATAATTATGAAGAACAACAGATATTCAGGATATTTACAAATTTTCACTCGATCAACTACAGTACAGTACTTTTCACTCAATTTCGAATAATATTACTGTACTTCTTAACTAATTCATAATCATCTTTGAAGTCATTGTGAAGCGTTCGGAATCTTCAATTGATGCCAAATTCTCCTCCCATCTGACTGATACTTGATATTGGGACTCAAAAATACACTTGAACCACACGTCAAGTCTTTTGGATAAGCGAACTAGTACTGTATGATCCATTACGGCGAAATACGTCAGAAATAACCTAACGTGATTCCAATGCATTTTATTTTGAAACAAAAAATAAAAATCCACTGATCGGACGCCCGCAAGTTTACGAAGTTCTCGGGATTCCGACAAAAATGAATTACCCTCGCACCAACGAGGTTCACAATTTCAAGATTTTCGTTGATCGTTTGGGATTCGTGCCGGTTTCACAGCACCTCAAAGACCTTCTTGGATATTTTCCCCCTTCCTCAAACGAAGCTCAGGGTAATTTCACTGCGACGACCGTGTACCATGAAAATGTACGTGAAGCTGGGGGATCGAATTCCGAAGCCGAGTTTGCACAAGGAATTACTCACAAGCAGACCCGACCGGACACCTCGCCCAGGTGCAAAAAGCAATTCGATCCCGGGGGGCGGAAGCAGGTCCCTGGGTGGGCTTCCTTCTCGGTAAATAAAAAGGCAAGTCTACAGTATATATTTGAATAACCTACCGGGAAAAAGTTCCCTTCCCGAGACTTGGATAGTTTTCCCCTTATATGCTCTCCTCTTCCGGTCCCGGGTAATGCGATTCTGGTAAAATACTGGACGAGAAACGGGGGGTTTCCAATCAGAGAAGAGTTTGCGGTTCTTCTCGACAGGGAGGGGGAAAGAGAGAGACAGAGAGCCGTTTTAAAAGACCGACGAGAGGTTTTGTCTCACGGCACGGGAGGGGTAGAGATAAGATTCTGTGGAACGAACCCCTGGGAAAGAGAGCCGAGTTAAAGGGAAAGAGAGCCGAATTTTGATAAGGGAACCCGGCAGTCGGTGAGGGGATTAATTGGCAAGAGAATCAGCAACTTACACGAAGTCCAACCAGTTTGTTGAAGCGTACGGGATGTTCATGGGGGGGGGGTAAAGGAAAAGGTCAGAGGAGAAACATTCCGAGCATTGCTCCGACGTTTTTCTTCTCCTCGTCCAGGGACTTCATTAAGCAGCTTGTCGCGAGGGGCCTCTTGATTTCTTCCTCTTCTGACCCCCTCCGAAAAAAAAAAAAAGATGAAGGGGGGAGAAGACACATTCTTCGAGACCCAAGATTTATTTTTTTTCTCGCTCTTTTTTTTCCCATCGGGTTTCTTTCTCGCGAATCACGCCGCAAGATTTCCGCGGAATGGAATTTTGCCGGAGCCCCCGGAGGAAAGCGTTTTGCACGCACAATGCGATGCGATTCGGAATGCCATTTACTGGTCTTTTTTTCTTCTTCTCTCTCACTCTCTACAGGGTCTACTCGTTTTATTTATTTATTTTTTTCTTCTTTCGAAGACTCCCCCCTTGTAATCCCTTCATTCAGGGCAACACCTTCTTTGCACGCATTTGTTCCCTCATTTCCTCGTTCTGGCCCCACGGAGGAGCCGAAATCCGAAATTCTCTCTCTTCACACAAACATCTTCATCCGATTCCGAAGGGGATCACGGGTTCCAGTGAATTAAGGCATCAAAGGGGAAACCTTCGTGCGAACCATTCTCAGGCAAATCCGGACATTCCTTGGCACTGGAAGTATTTTTAAACTCCCGCTTTTGCCACTAACTCACATGTGTAATTTTCAGAGGAGTACGAAGTACTAATTTCAACAGAACCTTCTTCAAAATTTCGTGATTTGACTTCCGAATATGATTCGCTGACACATTCAACCAAATTCTTCGAAAGATAGCACCACATCTTTTCCTTCATCAAAGAGCAGCTCTCCATGAACCAACAACACCTGTCGTCACTTACATCTCGTAAAAACTTTTCGGCAATTACTTTCTGATCAGAGGAGAAGAGGGATTTTTGCTAGGCATTGAGAATATTCGATTAGATAGCTCGAAATTAGCGAAGAATTGAAGCAAGACTCGTGAGCAAAAAGGGCTGCTGATTTTTATTTTTTATCGCGAGGAGACCTCGGAAAATAAGAAATGCAACAGTTCTCACAGGGCAAGGTTTCGGGGCGAACACAGAATGATGGACAGGAAAAGAAGGAGAAGAAGAAAAGAAACTCGACGGGGGAAACACAAGGTGCACAAACCGCGGCAAAATGAAAAAGACTCCGGAGCCGCCAAAAAACCGCATTTCCACGTCGAGAAACCCCCAGAGCGACAAGATTGAAGACTCGGAAAGAAACCCCTCTTCCCCTCTTTCTGCCAAACGTTTTGAAAAGGAGAAATCCCCCCCTTCTTCTTCTCTCACACATTTTCCCCACAATTTTTTCTTCTTCTTCTCTCTCTCTCTCTTACCCCCGTCGTCCTTCCAGGTCTTACATTTATCATCAAAGCCCACATCAGCGCAGAAAATGAATACGAGCCCCGATTTGTCCTCGAAGCGTTTCTCTTTCTCTGCTATTTTTTTTTGCATAGTCTCCGCCGAGAAGCAGATGGTTTCGTTGCTCGAGGCAGACTCGATGTCTCCTTGAACCCAGAATATCTTTCTATTGGGTTTGGTGCCTTCTTTGATAAAACTTGATTGAATGAAAATTGTCCGTAAACATGATCCCCCAGACATAACCGCCCCTCATTTGCAAAAACCCCCCCCCCCCCCCCCG